AAACAATTTGTTTCTTGTAAGGATGATTGGCAAAAAAAATTTATTAGATATATCTTGCGGTGTTCCTCAAGACTCTATATTGGGACCCCTCTTATTCTTGATTTACATTAATGACTTAAATAAAGCTTCAAGTCTACTTAGCATTATATTCGCTGATGATACTAACCTATTCCTTTCTGATACTGACATCTCCAAACTGTTTTGTAATATGAATGACGAACTGAAAAAATTATTTAACTGGTTCAAGTGCAACAGATTAACTCTTAATACTAATAAAACAAAATGGATTATTTTCCACCCGCTTCAAAAAAACGTTACCTACCCATAAATCTGCCTAAAATATTTTTTAACCAAATTGAGATTAAGAGGGACTCTGTCATTAAGTTTTAAGAAGTCTATCTTGATGAGCACATTACATGGAAACAGCATATTGATCACGTATGTACAAAGATTTCTAAAAATATTTGAATTTTATATAAATCTAGAGATTATCTAAATAAAAAAAGCTTGACCCAACTCTATCATTTGTTTATCCTTAATTATATAAATTATGCAAATATTGCTTGGGGAAGTGCTGGAAAGAATAAGTTGAAACGTCTTTTTTCTCGTCAGAAACACGCAATTCATATTATTAATTTTTCCAATCGTTTTACTCATTCAAAACCTTTATTTAATGAAATGAGAATACTTAATATTTATGAAGTGAATTTATATAATACTCTATGTTTTGTATATATGTGGAAAAATAACTTATCTCCTGACGTTTTTAAAAATATTTTTACTTTGAAACCAGACAATAAGTATGCACTGAGAAATAATAATTTGCTAAATCAAGTTTTATGTCGAACCAAGTTTAATCAGCTTTGTATTGATTATCGTGCACCTAATCTTTGGAATAAAGTTATTTTGCAAAATTTTGATCTACCTTCCTCTTTTTCTATTTTCAAAACTAAGCTTAAAAATCTAATTCTTTCTATGGAGAACGTTTTTCTATATTACTAGTGTTATGGGTTTGTCTACCTATTATTAAAACTAAGTTTACCTAAGTATATAGTTACATTGAGATTGTACTGAAACTGATAGCTATGAATAGATGTATAAATATTTATTATTTGAGTTTGTATTGTATATTGCTTTATATTTTATATTGCTAGTATGTATAAATTTTCAGGTTTATTTTATTTTTTATTTAGTATTTGAAAAAACAAAAAACAAAAAAATTTCATAACGGTATTTATAACACGGTTTTGTAAAAAAAAAAAGAAAAAAAAAAAAGAAATTAAAAAAAAATTAAATAGAAATAATAAATTATGTATAAATGTGTATGTGTATCTGTGTATGTAAATATTTATGTATGTATACTGGTATATATATGAGTGTATATGTGCTGTTAGTATGGGTGTGTGTATGCTTGCAGTCTATGTATATTCAAAAAAAAAAAAAAAGAATAGTGCTGCATAACCTCTGGTGTAGGAACACCCAACTAAAACTACCACCTATGATCGCTTGTATGGTAAAGATGCAAACGCAATATATACATAAAAAAAAACTATATTTGAACAAGAGCTAATTATCAACAAGAATTTCCTCCGCACCCTGATTTTATTTTCTACAATTTTAATGCAAGAAATGTTCAATTCAATTATTTTTTTTTTTAATCTATTCGATTTATATTAACATCACCAACACACTATGACGTCATCAAACACATCATAAATATACTGAAGTATATTATTTTTAACTATTCTTTGCAACGGTTTATATAACTATTTATCGAAACAGATCCAATTCAAAAGCGAATAAACATTTACAAAAAATCAATAAAAATGAATTCATATAAAGCGTTTTGAAGACCTCAAGGACTTCTTCGAGTTTCCGCATTCTTTATTCCTAATTTTTATTGTTATATTTTTTGTTATTTTGTTATATATTTTCCTTTTGTACCTTAGTTGATGAACAGTTATGACGAATTGCAAGCAAAATTTCTGAATGGAACAGAAAGGATTGTCGATAAGTCAGGCTGAAGAGATGACATGAAATTCTTGCACCATCAGGCCCTTGTATTCGAGTTTTCTGAAGAAAAAGGACATTTTCCACTTGTCAACTTTCAAAACATTCCTAATATAAGTAAGAGATTAACACGCAATTTGATATTTTGATTATGAGGTGAACTTTGTTAAAAGATATTCGTGTGTTGAATCGTCTTGTTTGAAAATTGCCTGTATTTAGTATCTTAATATGAAATGGAATATTACTAAATATACTTAATATACTAAAAAGGCGTAAAATGACAGACTATTTTTAACGAAAAAGGAAACGGTTTTTTTATAAAATGTTAAAGTTTTTTTTCAATTGTTTTTTGTTTTTTTCAATTGTTTTTTGTTTTTTTTAATTGTTTTTTGTTCAATTGTATTTGTTTATGAAAAGTAACTAAAAATTATGTTGTCCAATGTCCACACAAAATGGGTTTTGTGTGGACATTGGACAATAAACTTTACACTTCGCGCAACTTGTGTACTCAATTACACTAATAATTAGTGTGATAAAAAGTGACTAATTCAAAAATAAAAAGTGAACTAAAAATAAAAAGTGACTAATTCACGAATTCGTCTAATCCTGACTTGCAGTAGCGGCGAAGCTACAAAATGTTAGAAGGGTATTCACCGTGTACTTTTTTGTTTATTTTCTAGTCCTACAGCTACAACAGTTGACGACGTCAGTAAAGTGAGTTTGCCATGTGGTTCACTACCTACAAATTCTGCAGTCGTCACTCCACTAATTTGTAATCAATTGATATTAATAAACCTATTTTATAATAATTTATATGCCTGTCTCACATAAATTTTTGGGAGGGGGATACCATCCCAAACCCTCCCCTATGTAAACCTTTAAGCATTAAACCCCACCACTGAATCCTGGATCCGCCGCTGCATATAAATGCTATAATTAAATCTAAAAAAATGTTTATTAATAAAATGTTACACATTTCCGCACGTTACGTTGACACGATTACATCATGGAAGTACAAAACAAAGCGTATTGAAATGCATCAGGATTATGCTTGTAACCTTTTGTTTCATAAACGATCACAAAATGACATCAAGACTGTACTTATCTTTATACGTTGACGCAAATAGGTCCATAAAAATTTAAAAATATAGTGTATTTTGACGGTTTGCCTATAATAATTGTTATAAACATTAAAAATGGCGACAACAAAACTGCAAATAACAACCTTTTCTTAAACTTCTTATTTAATGAATAGACTATTAAAAGCATAAATGGAATTATAATATACAACTAATGAAATTTTAGGCTTTAGTATACTAAATTATAATTTAGAAAACGTTTTATTTTTTATTTTTAAAAAATTGTTTTAGTTGTCTTTTTAATCAAATGTCGTGTTATGATTCGAAACAAGAAAAAAAGCTTAAACTAATATATACTTTTAAAACAAAGTGATTCTATTTAATTACCGAGTTTTAGTATACATTTTGTTGAATAAAAACGGATCTTTAAAACTATGTAAAATGAAATTGCTTTGATGTTAGCGGCTTGACGATTCATCAAGTTAATATTCATCAGGTTTATATTTCAGTTTAGGTTATAATCATCTGTTTTAACGATTAGTTTTTATACAACAAAATGTAAACTAAAACTTTTATTTAAACTAATTATTAAAACTGATTATTGTAACCTAATTATTGACAATTATGAATTTCCATCTGTTTTATACTTTCATGTTTACATAAAAAGAAAACGGACATTTGTTACGTAACCGAACTTACAGCTGTAAACATGTATTAAATAAATATTGAAAATTAAGTTCTCACATTTTAAGAAAAGGCAGATACAACCCTATAATTCTAATGTGACGATATATTCTTTATTGAAGATAATAAACCAGGATATGTTTCGAATCTTTTGATACTGTCAAAAGTTTTTAAATAGTTTAGCTTTTACTGGCAACACACATATTTACAAGGTATTTACCGCCACATTAATTTAACCATAGCGATCTATAACGATCAGTATAGAGAAGTATACGCAACATAGATCGCTATATCTCAATATATCGATCGGTGCGATCGTTACTTTATCGGTATATTGAGTAATAGAAACTTTAGTTTATCGTAAAATCTTTTACAAAATTTTGCAAAATATTTTATCAACTTTCTGACTTAATAGAAAATAAGTTAGTAGCTGCTGTTTTTATGTTTTTAAAATTTTTATCAACTTGAAATTGCGACTATATGGCTGTAAAAGCCAAATTTCGTTAAAAATAGCGCTAAAATTTTATATCCATTAACTAAATACTTTTCCCCTTTTTCTAATCTAATATTATTAGAAAATATGAATGATACAAAAATAAAATTCGTAAAAATATCTAATACAATTAATAATAAATTACGAAGAACCTATTAAGAAAAGTATTAGGAGTATATTATATTGCATTATTATATTGCAGTATTAGGAGTATATTTATTACATGTGAGATCATAATATTATTTTAACTAGTAACGATTTTTTACTAATGTGTTTATAGACTATAAAAGAAAGTATATGTTATATGATATATACATAATGTATAATGATTATTAGTATTATGTATAATAGTATTTTAACAATGATAATCCATACATATCATTATAGCCAATAAAGGCAATTTATCAACTTATGATTCTAAAATTTAGTTAATAATAATATTGCTTCAAGACTTTACTTGAAACAATTAAATCAAATCCTTATGCCTTAATACAAGTAATCAAAGAAAAATATTCTCGTCCTTAAACTGGCTTGCTTATATGCATACATTTAATGTATTTAAATATATGTGCGTGTTTACATACATACATACATATATATATATATATATATATATATATATATATATATATATATATATATATATATATATATATATATATATATATATATATATATATATATATATATATGTATATATATATACTTTTGTTTTTTTGAAAATGACCAGGTCGAGTGCCAATTATAATTTATTTAGATTAAAAGACAATAAAAACTTATATGTTTGGTATGTCATGCTTGTTCATCTGTGAACCATTCACAAACAAGCGCACAAAGATTGAAAATGTTGATTTAAAACTTTCTATTGCAAATTTTAAAGATATCGTTTATCAGTATACTGAGATCAAAACTGGAGATCAAGGTAATTAAGTGTGTGTGTGTTTGTGTGTGTGTGCGTGTGTGTGTGTGTGTGTGTGTGTGTGTGTGTGTGTGTGTGTGTCTGTGTGTGTGTCTGTGTATACTTTTCTATTATTTTTTTTTAATTATATTTTTTTGATTCAGACATCAGATGCAATACTAAGTCCATAGATTCAACAGTTAATAATAGTATTTATTGCAGTAATAGTTAGTTATAATATGTTTGCAATTAAATAATAAAAATAATATCTAAAGTAAGCAATCTTAGTTTCAAGAGCATACTTGTAACACTTTATAATTATCACACCCAAAAAGTATTTTAATAGATTTCTTGTAACAGATTGAACTTTGATTTGACATTTTTTTTCCAAAGTTAAGAGTCTCATCATACAAACAAAACAAGTAAGTCTTAAACAACTGTTTTTACCCTAACTGACCATCTCTTGAATTATCTAAGAATAATCAACAAAAACTAATTCACAACTTGCTAAAGTGAATAAAGGAAAGTTGCCTGACAGCGACGGATCCAGGATTTTTTGACAACAACCTCCAATTATAACAATTTCAAAAGTTGCGATGATTAGAGGCCGGGAATAAAAAGACCTCTTAACTTCGTTCTCCCTACCCCCACCCAAATGTGAGGGGCAACAAGTTGATAAAATATTTTTTGTACTATTCTCAATTAGACTTATATTCATCAATAAGTTTTAAGTTTCATAGTATTATCTCTCAGCATTCAAAAATTATGACCATATAAAATTTGTAACTTCCTCAAATTGAGGGGGTTTAAACTTTACATGGTCATAACTTTTGAACTCTGAATTTTATGGACAAATATAAGTCTAGTTGAGAATAGTACAAAAAATATTTTATCAACTTGTTGTCCCTCATGTTTGGGGTGGGGTGGGGGATGAAGTTAAAAGGCTTTTTGTTCCCAGTCTCCAATCACCCCAATTTTTTGCAAAGCATCATTATTTGACATAAGTATAAACATACCAGGGTTGCCAAAAAAACCCAACCCCAAAAACCCCAAAAAACCCACCTTAAAAAACTCCAAAAAAACCCAAATATATTTGGGTTTTTTTAAAAATATCCTATTTTACAACTGAAAAGTCTGATTTTAACACTTTAAGAAGCATTGCTAAATATTTATAAAAGATTTTATGCTTATCAAAACAGTTAAAAATTGCTTCCATAAACTGAAAGCATATCAAATCCTAAGCCACCTTACTTCTTTCCAGTGTAAAAAAAGTGTTTAGTGTATAGGCATAAAGCAATACAGAAATTTATTTTTTCTTGCTAAATGTAAAACTAAATATGCAAAGAAAAAAACAAAAATGCTATGATAAAGCAGCCATGGCGCAGTGGTAGCGCACTTGCCTCAGAAACATTAGATCCGTGGTTCAAACCCCACCTCTGGGCAAGTTTTGCGACATCGGTTGGGAAAGAGGCGTGAACTTCCTATTAAATGCTCTTCCGCGGTGCTCTGTGATAAGACCGTGAGGACTTCTTGGGGCACCTTAATCAACTTAAAAAAAAAGTGCAACTTTTATACTGTAAATACTCTTGTAAAAACTGTATTTATATAAAAAATGGTATTTAGAATATAATTTTTAGTTCGAACTCTTTACAGAATAACCCAAAAGTTAAATATTAAAAAATATTGAAATATGTATTGAAATATTAAATTAGTTAAATATTTATAAAGGAAATAAAAATCATTCTGTTAACTAAATTTTAAAGTACAAGATTGTTATTTAGTATCTTTACTCTCCTCTCAAATATTTCCAAACAAGTGTTTATATGTGATTTTATATTGATATATGATCTTTATTTTTTAAAGCTTATGTTGTAAACTGCAAATTTCAGTTCTAATCCACAAGCAGAACACTATATATAAAAAATGTTAAACTTTATTCACAGTCTAGAAATGGAAAATTGCCAGGCAAAAAAAAATATGCTACAGTTTACTAAACTGTGGACTTATCCTTGTTAAGTGAGTACAACTTTAAAACATAAAAAACATTATGTTATGTGCAAGCAAGTTTACACCATGTTTGCTCATTCAATGAGAGAATATGTTGGAAACTTGTATGCACTTTACAAGGACAGGATTTATTGATGAAAATGATATTCATGCTTATCTGTCTATTTTACTGGTTTTAAATATTTTATATCAGCTACAAGTTTACAACATCTACCGTCAACAGGGGTGACTATGAACAGCGGGTTGAAAATGAACATCAGTACCAAGTTTGCTAAAAGGTGAAGAAACACACACAATAGAGCTATATATTGTGATACTTTGATTCAGTTGCAAAACTGAGGTGATAAACATCTTCAAGGGGAAAAAAAAAGAATCTGGTGGTGAAGACACTGTAATGGTTCTTAACAAATTCATTTTAGATATTCTTAAGAACAATCTGATCTTAGGCACAAATTCATTTGAAAACATATCTATCCATAATCCAAAAAATAAAAACATGATGTGTCAATGTCACCCCAAATTGGCTAATCATTACTCTCACACTATTTCAAAAATACAAATTTTCTCTGCACGACACCCTTGTTTAAAAATTTTAGTCGTTAATGTTGTTTGTTAGTTAAAATGGTAATGTTCTAAGTTGAGGATTGAGACAAAATATTTTTAAAAGTTGAGTTGCTCCCATGACTGAAGTGGTCACTGGAGCAACAGGGAGGTGAATTAATGAAATTTAAAAAAAAATTACTGTACACATACAATGATAAAAATTTGGTATTTTGATCGGTTTTTAAAAAAACCCAATAAACCGATAAAACCCAAAAAAATCCATTTGGGTTAAGTTTTTTAGAAAAACCCTGGGTTTTTTCCAACCCTGAAACATACAAATGTTTGGGGTTTGCTCCCATGTGATAGAACATCTCAAACACCAAAAAAATCCTGGATCCGTCACTGTTATCTGATACAATTTATGATTTAATACATTTTTGATTTTGGATTTAATACTATGTGCACAGACCCTTGTTTTATATGTAAGATTTTTTTTTTTAATTAAAAAAAGTTTAAGGATGGGACATGACCCAAAAGTACATTTTTTAATACATTATTTGACATTTTTGACCCATTTGTGCTTCCCTTCAACATTATTTAATTTTTTTTTTCTATATTTATTCTCATAATGACTAATTTAAAAAAAAAAAATTAGGCACTCTTTCTGTATATTTTTTTTTCTCAACACTAAAAATGTTATAGAAAAAAGTAATATAATAGACAAAAAAAAAATTTCCCTATTTCTATGGTCATTTCAAAAATTCACTTTAATTAGTCAAATTATAATAGGCTATAAAAATATGCTATATTATTTTGGATATCAAACTTATTAAAGGTGGATCAGCTCTCCCCTATTAATATACCTTATTATATTCTTTTAAGTTGCAGGAGGACAAGTGAAAAAAACAAAATTAACGCAATATTATACTTTTTAAAATTTATTAACAAATTATTGTTTAAAAATACAATTAGTTGTGTTTGATGCTAAATCTGTTCTCTTTTCCTCTTGCCTACATCTTTTGAAAAAATGATTAAACAAGAACAAATCCTGTCTTTTTTTCTTTTTGGTAACTTTTCCAACTTCTTTAACTAGTTTAAGGCCCTCTCTGATGAGTCATTGACAACATCAAGGAATTAAATAATAACTTCAAACTCAAGATAAAAATAGTTCCAGAACTGTGAAGGGATCTTAAGCCACTGCAACTCAATCTTTCCATGTCTAATCTTATCAAAGATAAACCAAGATTGCTGAGTTACTAGAGCACTAAGAGATAGAGACTGATCTTGTGCAAAATCTAGAGAATAATGAAGCTCTTTATTGACCATAACACATTTTAAGTGGATATACTTTTGATTTTGCGAGAAATGTACTGTACAATGCTTTGGCAATATCTTCTCTAGGCAGGATCAAGAAGGTTTTTTGGACAGAAGTTTATATTATGTTTTGAAAAATTTGAAAAAAAGGCTATGATATTAGTGGGCATCCACAAGTACTCTGTTGATTAGAAACAAAAAAATGTAAATAAACGCCAACAAGACAAATTGGCATTTATTGAGGGATCAGACTTCACTGGGAGAAGACTTTTGGCTGAACTTGAAAGGCAAAGGTCATTTTAAGTTCTACTTCTGTCTCATTTTAAATTCTTCGTACGTCTTCTAACTTTAGACTAAGTTGCGATCACATTGCACACCCAAAACCTTTAATAAATCTACCTAGGCGATACTAGCATTTACTTTCTAAATGAATGTATGTATTTCAACTTCTTCGTTCCCACCTTGATTAAAATGGGTACTGGTGAAACCAGAAAGCCAAATCATATGGATTTATTTTTGGTTGTTCAATAAAAAAAAACATAAATCTACATTCCGCAATGTTGTTTTAAGGATGTTTCTTTATGCTGCTTTTAAAAATACATGGTCTTTTTCAACTTTAAAAAAGTGATGAATTGCAAGTCTAGTAGTGGACAGAAAGGCCTATACACTCTAGCTGTTTTTTTAAAATTTAAAATATTTTTCTAAAGAGATTGATTGTAGAAGGTGTGAATGATCATTTTGCTAATTAAAAAAAGCTGCCATAAGATTAAAAAAAATTCATCTTCTTATAATGTAATAATGAAACTTAGATGAAAGCTATGTAATTTTTAGAGATGTCTATGTTTCATTATACCCTTTTGAATTGTTTTAAATATATGTAAAATACAAATATCTGATTGTCCCTTGCTTATTCTTCGGATTAATTTATATCACATTTACTTGTTAGTTTTAATTTATATCACATTTACTTGTTAGTTTTTGGTCTAATGCAGTAACATTTATTAAGTAAGCTATATAAAAAAAAATTCTGTTGCAGTACAAATTTTTTTTTCTAGGTGACTGGAAGGGGGAGTGGGAGGTTCCAGAAACCACAAGCATTATTTTGCTGTGGGACCAGGTTGACCTCAAGATGGGCCTGAATGCATTGAAAATTACAATCTCACATTACCAATAACAGTAGCTAGTGCCTAGAGATCTTTTTTAAAATTAGAAATTATCAAAAACTGTTTAGAATCAACGGTGGGTCACAATAAGTTAAACAATCTTGTAATGATTTCCATTAAAAATAAAATTGCTGCTGATTCAAATATCGAAGATTTCCAATTGAAATTTTTTCTGATTACAGCTTTAAAAGTACTATTTTCATGATACCTTTTTTTTTTTTTTTTAATTTCAAATAAAATACATTAAAAAATTTATTTCATTAAGGTGCCAAAGTATTTTTTTTACCTACCATCAGAACATCTAGCGCCAGGCCTATATATATATATATATATATATATATATATATATATATATATATATATATATATATATATATATATATATATATATATATATATATATATATATATATATATATATATATATATATATATATATATATCACTATTAAGTTAACGTAACTTAAAAATATTTTTTGTTTTTTAGAGTTAGTTTATTGTGGTAAATGTTTAAACATTGAGGAAAACACACTTGAATCGTACAACATTGAAAATCAGGTCACCATATTTGTGTTAAAGAAGTTTCCAAATAAGTTATTGACAGGTATTTTTAGTTAAACTTATGTATTTCACCAATGTGTACTTAATTTAATCTTCTCATAATTAGACGATGTAATTTTTAGGATGTTTATAGTGGATTTTTTTTTGTATAAAGAGGTCTGAATATCTGAGAGTGGATAATTTTATTTTCTGATTTTTTAATATCGTTTAATTTTGATGGTGTTATTGTTTACTTATTAAATAATAACTACTGTTGACATTGTTTTGCATATTGTGTTTCAATATTTTTATTTACAGATGTTAAAACACCAATTTTAGTTGATGAAATCGAGAACCTACTCACAAAAGCAAGAAGTCAATCTTACAGAATTAATGTATGACTGGTTTTGTCATTAGATTTTTATATCAGAATTTTGTATATCTGCTATTTTTTGGCTAATATATATATATATATATATATATATATATATATATATATATATATATATATATATATATATATATATATATATATATATATATATATATATATATATATATATATATATATATATATATATATAAAGGGCCTATTCTAGGAAAAAAATTAGGTACCCCTCGTTACCCCGGCAAACTTTAGCAGAAAATCAGCAGTTTTTTCGCAAAAATAACAATATTTGCTGTAAACGTATTTGTCGAAAACAGTCTAGAATAGCCCCTGATATATATGTATATATGTATAATATATATATATATATATATATATATATATATATATATATATATATATATATATATATATATATATATATATATATATATATATATATATGTATATGTATGTATATGTATGTATATGTATATATATGTATATATATATATATATATATATATATATATATATATATATATATATATATATATATATATATATATATATATATATATATATATATATATATAAAGGGCCTATTCTAGGAAAAAAATTAGGTACCCCTCGTTACCCCGGCAAACTTTAGCAGAAAATCAGCAGTTTTTTCGCAAAAATAACAATATTTGCTGTAAACGTATTTGTCGAAAACAGTCTAGAATAGCCCCTGATATATATATGTATATATGTATAATATATATATATATATATATATATATATATATATATATATATATATATATATATATATATATATATATATATATATATATATATATATATGTATATGTATGTATATGTATGTATATGTATATATATATATATATATATATATATATATAACAGTATATATATATATATATATATATATATATATATATATATATATATATATATATATAACAGTATCAATAATAAGGGCAAATCTGTTATTCCTTCTCTCTTGTATGGTTCAGACTTTGTCACCTCACCTAAAGACAAAGCTGAATTGTTTGCTAAGAACTTTTCATCAATATCATCTCTTGATTCCACTAGTTGCGTTTTACCTGACATAGCCGTCAAACAGGTTGATCCCTTGCTTGACATTCGCATCACTTCAGCTTCTGTATCTAAAGTAATTTCCTGCTTAGACTCTTCAACAGCTTGTGGTCCTGACAACATTCCTGTTGTAGTCTTGCAGAGGTGTTCTCCGGAGCTTTCATCCATACTTTCTAAACTATTTAACAAGTGCTTATCAGAGTCTTGTTTTCCATCATGCTGGAAAGCAGCATCTGTTATCCCTATTTTCAAAAATTCCGGAGAGCGATCTGATTCATCTAACTACCGTCCCATTAGTCTTCTTCCTGTCATAAGCAAGGTTTTTGAATCTTTAATCAACAAACACTTAATCTCTCATCTTGAATCAAATAACTTACTTTCTGATCATCAATATGGATTTCGGTCTTCTCGTTCTACAGCTGATGTGCTAACAGTAATAACCGATAGGTTTTACCGTGCATTAGATAGAGGTGGAGAGGTTAAGGCTATCGCACTTGACATTTCTAAAGCTTTTGATAAAGTTTGGCATGCTGGTCTTCTCCATAAGCTTTCTTCTTATGGTGTAGCTGGTAACGTCTTTAAGATTATTGAGTCCTTTCTTTCCAATCGTAGTATAAAAGTTGTCCTCGATGGACAACACTCTTCTTCACATCCTGTAACTTCAGGGGTTCCTCAAGGTTCAATCCTTGGCCCTATACTCTTTTTAATTTACATTAACGATCTTCCAGATATTCTCACATCTAAGGTGGCATTATTCGCTGACGACACTACCATTTACTCTTGTCATGATAAGAAGCCTACACTCTCTGATTGCTTGGAGGGGGTATCTGAGCTTGAAAAGGATCTCACTTCTGCTACAGCATGGGGCTCACAGTGGCTGGTGAACTTTAATTCAGATAAAACTCAATTTTATTCGGCCAATCGTTATCGTAATAATTTAGCTCTTCCTATATTTATGAATGGTAATGTACTAGATGAGTCATCTACCATTCATCTTCTAGGATTAACTCTTACTTCTGATCTTTCTTTTAAACCGTATATCAAATCCATTGCAAAATTAGCATCTGCTAAGGTTGCATCTCTTTATCGAGCTCGACACTTTCTTACTCCAGATTCTATTCTCTATCTCTATAAATCTCAAATCCGTCCCTGTATGGAATACTGTTGCCACATCTGGGGCGGATCTTCTAATGATGCTCTTTCTCTTTTAGACAAGGTGCAAAAACGAATTGTAAACATAGTTGGACCTGCTCTGGCAGCCAATCTCCAACCTTTGTCACATCGTCGTAATGTTGCTTCTCTTTCTCTTTTCTACAAATACTATAATGGGCACTGCTCTAAAGAGCTAGCGTCCCTTGTGCCATCTACTAAAATTCATTCTCGTGTTACTCGCCATTCAATTAAGTCTCATCCTTTTTCTGTGACTGTTCCTAAGTGCTTCAAAAACTCTTATTCTTCTAGTTTTTTTCCTCGAACATCAGTTCTTTGGAATTCGCTTCCTTCATCTTGCTTTCCTGATTCATATAATTTGCAATCTTTTAAGTCATCAGTCAATCGTTATCTTGCTCTACAGATTTAGTCTTTTCTCTTCCAGTAACTTCCAACTCTTATAGTGGTTGCTTGCAGCCTTGTTGGAAGTGAAGATGTTTAAAAAAAAAAAAAAAAAAAAAAAAAAAAATATATATATATATATATATATATATATATATATGTATATATATACATATATATATATATATATATATATATATATATATATATATATATATATATATATTATCAGGCTTTCCCAGAAAAGGCGTGCGGTCGCACGCCTTGTTTGTCCACGCATAGAATAAATTTTTCAGAAAATGTGACCGCGGCAATATTTCGTAAGAAAGCGGAAATTATCCATAGAGAATAAAAAATAATATTTAAAAAATGAAACAAAGTCTAAACAAAGTATAAAATTGAAATTGGATGTAAGAAAAATATTTCGATAATAAAAAAAAATTAAAAAAAAATAAATTCTTGTAACAAAAAAAAAAGTCTTTTCAAAACATTTTTTTCAAAATTTTATACTGTTTTTGTTTTCTTTTATTAGGGTTGCTATTTTCAGCTACGAAATTTGATACAAGTCAAGGAAAAGACGACGATAAGTCATAAAGTTTTTACGAAAATAAAAAGACTTGATACGTAATTTATTCACGAACTTTATCAAACAATGTATTAAAAAATTGATTCATTATTTACGCTAGACAAATTTGGTCAAACTTTTTCATTTAATTTAGTTTTTACGAAGGTTTATGCAAAGGCAATGACTTTATTCCCCAATACATAGACAAGAAAATAAATTGCTGTTTTAATTATTAAATATATTATTTGAGATTTTAAACATAACAAAATTTTAATGTGAAAAAAGTTCTCGACTTATTCTAAACTGATTTTACTGAGTCAATGCTCGCCTTTTATTACATTGAAGTTATTCAATTGCATAATTTTGTAATTACGAAAGAAGTTAAAAAAATAATTGCATTGCTTCTGTTGTCATTGTTACGAAAACAGTTCCTTTGGGACATTATTATATATTAACACTCGTTCACTATGTCAATTGATGATCGCAAAATAAGCAACTCAATCGTTTGACAATAATATTTTTTTTCATTTAAAAAAACAAGCAAACATATTTTACTAATAAATAGCAATCGTTTTCGTGTTTTCTTGCGTATCAATACATTCAAACATTAAAATCAATACATTTAAACATTTAAATGTATTTACAAAACATTTAAAAATTGTTTATAGTTCTATCGTGAATTTTAAAGTATTACTGACTGATAAAAGTCATAAACAAATTTTACATTAAAAGGTCCTTTTATTTTCTTTAAGCATTAATCTTTTTCTTTTTGATTTGATTTTTCTTATTGATTTGATTTTTCATAGCTTAAATAACTACCACCCTAAATAAATTATAGGTAAATTTTTTTTTTAATAATATGCATTAATTTTTTAATTTTAAAGCACAAACAGATTTCTGTTATTCACTTTAAGATTGCTTGCATTTTTGCGGTATTTTCATTTAGCTTTGTTTTGGCGCGAATTCTTGAAACGCATAATAATAACGTGGTCAGTTAGTCAGAAAAATTTATTCTATGCGTGGACAAACAAGGCGTGCGACCGCACGCCTTTCCTGGGAAAGCCTGATATATATATATATATATTATTTTAATTCACCTCCGAGAAGGCCGAAAAGACCACTACAGACGAGGAGGCTACTTATTTGTGGTTATAATCCTCTCTCAACTCTATAACTCCGAAACACAAACCTTAATGAACATAGCCGCTGCGCGGAGAAACGAGTTGAGCGCGGTACTACCAGGGACGTGGTGGGGATCGAACTCGGAACCACTCATTTATGAAGCAAGCGCTCTACCACTACACCACTACCATATATATATATATATATATATATATATATATATATATATATATATATATATATATATATATATATATATATATATATATATATATATATATATATAAATAACACCAAGTAAAAAGTTCCAGGTAATAAAAGAAAAACTATTCAAACTAAGATGAGTAAAATATATTTATTAATTAATATTTAACAAAGTTTATCTGAACCAATGCCTGTTTTGCATGTGTAGATGTGTAGATTAGTTCTTAACCTCAGGTTATTTTTACCAATCTATGTTGTTTTTCCATCACATCCATCACATGATAGAAAATAAATAATATTTTTTGAATTACATGGTATTGAAGTTATGTACCATACTTTACCAGATGATGTGGTAAAATGGTTCAAAAAATGAAGATACATAGTACATATCTTACAACATTTTGATACCCATTTTAAAAGGTTGCATTCATTGTTAATAAAAACTGTTTTCTTATTAAAACTTGATGTATTATGTATCTTAAAAT